ATTGGAGGAACTAGTGACAGACTTCATACCGTGGGATGGTGTTTGTTAATCTATAAGTGAAAGGTGCCCTCCGGGGTTCTACGACGGCATTCAAAACTTTTTCGAGTCTGGAAGAGCTCCCGTTCTGATTAAGAGCTCAGTCTCGCTGCCACATTATTACTTGGAAGTAGTGACATTTTTCTCATTCTGAATCTGTTTATAGAGATGGAGTTTATGCTGACATTCAGCGTGCTTTATTACTAGATACCAACACACGAACTTCATTCGCAAGATACGACAGTGTATAAACTATATTATAGTCACACATTCATCTTGTTTGTGTAGACATGTCTGTGTTGGAAAAGATTTTACTGAAAGTTTTTTGCGCTTAGACTGGCTACGCTCGGGTACTAGTAATTCCTTATATTGCTAACTGCCCAATGAGTTAATCGAGTTTTCACATACTCCAGGATTCACTATTGTCACTATGCAACCTAACGACATCATTCATGCTTCAATCTTATTACTAACTGTTTGTATGTTGAGTGATGCTGTGGGTGAGGTCCAGGTGTCACTATGAGCACATTGCTATTCGCTATGCTGCACCCCTTTATATTAGGTAGATACTTTAGCTCATACACACCACCACACTACACTCAGCACTGAGTTTTCCTGCTGCACTTCTCTGATTGCCCGGCCTTCACCATGGCTCTGGCTGGTCTACAAACCTGTACCATTGTCCTGGTTTGTACTCTTGCTCTGGTGGTTAATGCAGACGAGGACTGCAAAACTGACGGCAGTGACTGCAGGTGTTCCACCTCTAATGTCACGATCGACCTTAGACAGATCTTCTCAACCCTACCGTGAGTAGCAGCACTTAGTACGCGACGGCGGTATGCGAGCTGGCCAGACGCACTATACAGCAGGGCGGATCTGCCTTCTGTACTGTGTGCTCCCGCGCCAGCGGAATATCTCTAGATTTTCGTATGTACTGTAGCTACGCACGGGAAGACACATAGCAGAAAGAACTTTACTGCAACTGAAGACATTATAATAGAAGCTCAGAAGACCTTGGTCATGGCACCTCCAGTCAATTTGTTATTAGGAGCTTGGCATGCAACATGGGAACGGTAGGTTTTGAGCTAGCCTAGCTAGCTATAAACAATACTCTCTATTCTGCCGCCTGCACACACTATATCTAATCCTTCATTGGAGCTTGATCAGCATCAGCGATTGTTAGTCACACAATAGCTAGCTACCAACCTAGTTAAAAATGAAAATAGTTTTTACTCTGCTGTAGTCATTCTGTTTCACTCTCCCTTCACTGTACAATACCAGGGCCACTACAGTAGCTGGCGGCAGCAAGTACGACATCACTTACATGCCGTGTAACCCTCAGGTCTGTCCTCTTGCAACAGGAGATCCGAGTGTGGTGAGTATATCTGAGGTGGACCAGTTATAAACGCAGGGTTAAATCTCGGGTATTATGTGATTGCTGAATGCGTTATCTTCTGCATAGCTAACACTGCTGAATTTGGGCACAGTGTGTGGGTTAATGATACTCTCAACAGTCAGAGTCCCCTAGTGTGTCTTGCAGGAACTGTTCTTCTGTTCCAACTGTAGGTATGTCAAGTCCAGCACGATAAACCAACTACCGTGTTCTCTCTCGGGCGAGCCAATGGCCTTAAATGGACGCTAACCCAGTACAATCCTCTGGAGTTTGAGATCCATTATGTCGGTGGAGATGGGGACAGGTGAGCTTCTGAATAGTGTATTGTGTCCTCCTGACTAACAGATACTCTCCAACAGAAAGACTATTATTTCCTTCAAGCATGGGACGGGATCTACGGTATTCTCATATGATCAAGAGAAACCAGAACTAACCTATGTGAGTTATTTCACTGGACGTGTATCTAGTTGCAAGTAGTCCGCATGCCCTCCCCCTCCCTCCCTCTCTCTTTCTCGGTAGGATTTCAATGTGGTTGGGTCATCAGTAGCTCCAGCAAATGGTGGAGGAGGTGGTGGTAGCAGTGGCAATGTTGCTGGACCCATTGGCATCATCCTAATCTTCCTGTAAGCCACACACACACTAGAATTATTGATAGGTGATAGGGGAATGGTAGAAACCATGCATGACGCCATATGCGGGGTTTAAAACAAGTAAGAGTGTCTGGGCACTGAGCAGAGTCATTAGGCTTCAGAAAACTGGACAATCTTTCTTTTTCCATCAAAATTCTACCCCCCCCCCTTCAACCCATGAGGCAATATTATAGAATCTGATGTGGGGTCTATTGTGTATCTGCAGGGCTCTCGGAGGGTTGGTGGCCTACTTTGTGGTGGGAGGTATCTTCATGTACGCTCGGAGAGGCGCAAGAGGTGTGGAGGTCATCCCCAACTATACCTTCTGGAAAGACCTTCCCTTCCTTTTGAAGGTGAAAATATAACTAAACTCTGATGGCCTTTAGATCAACTCCATTTCTGCAGGATGGTCTCTTTTTTCACGATCAGTCCATGCTACAAGAGGGAAAAATATCAAGGACTTTAGCTAGCTAGGCATGCTGTAGCTGCATTATAAAGAGTAGAGTTGTTTCTCTCTTTTCCCCTGTGAGATATCTTTACGTTTGGTCTATAAACTGTTCTGCTATTCATAGACATGCCCACGCACAATTTTCTGCCTACCGTCACATGGGGCGGCGTGCATGTCGCGTGTCAACAGCTAACCAATAGACTATAGCCAGCTACCTCTCTTAGCTAGACGACAGAGGACGCTGCTATATAGCTATATAGCTGGAGAGGTCCCCTGGGAGACAGAGAGATGGCTCCAGGTCTACTTGTTCTGCTGCTCGGTGTGGAGTGTATCTGTCACTGGGCCGCCGCTGACGTCGTCCAGTGTCAAGTAGCGGACGATGATTTCTGCAAGTGTTCCTCCTCTAATCTGACTCTGGACCTCCGTCGAATGGGACTCTCCTTCCCGTGAGAGCCGCAGCTTAGCCAGATAGCTAGATAAAAGGGGCGGATCTAATAAACCCCTGTGATTTTTAGAGAAGAAGGAAAGCGTGGGTGATGTGATAACTATCATGCAAGCCTTTCTTCCCTAGTCATCAGTGATTGTGATTTCTGATAAAACTCATGCTGCTATGTGTAATAAATGTTTTAATGGTCTTTCAACAGACTGGGGTATTGAGTCAGTCATGTTCTGTTGCCATATATACCCTCACAGGGTTTCAACAAAGGATGCTGCCGACAAGTATGAATACAGCTACACTCCGTGCCAGCCAGTCGTGTGTGGGGACTCTGGGGGAGCTGCTAGTGTTGTAAGACAGAGTAACTCTGTTCTGTAGCTCACACGTCCATGTCGCACAGTATTTTGAAACTTTCGCTAATTTGTGATTTGTTAGGAAAAATCACGCAAATTGCTAATTATTGCATAGGGAGGGATGGTTTTGATGTAGCTAGCAATGCTACATCAAAACCATCCCTCCCTACAGGCTTAGTAGGAAAAATATATATTGTGGCTCCTTTGAACGTTTATTTGAGGAAATGAGGAAATCCCTGCACAAATCACAGTGTTATTAGCAGTGAGGTGTCTGGATGTATGGATGTAGCTGTGGCCAACTTTAACTAAGATTCCAGGGACGTGTTGTGGTCCCTCCACTGCAGCTGTGTCAGGTGAGGACCGACACAAAGGCGGCCTACTCTGTCGGGAGGTACAACCCTTTCAATTGGACGATAACGAGTTTCAATCCTCTGGCGTTTGAGATTGTTTACGGCGGAGGAGACAAGGCTGGGAGTGACACTAGGTGAGCTCCGGAATAATGACACCAATCAAATTTCCTGAGAATGGTTCCCTGGAGAGAAATCTCCCCACCAATGGCTTGCTAAAATTACACAGAGTAGAACAAAATGTTATGTTCATAATTATGAGCATCTTTGAAATTTTCTCTCCGTCTGAAGACTGTAACAGCAAGGTCTACATAAGAATTATCATGTTCTAAATTAGAACTCTTTGGGGCCCAAGACCGCATAATGTGTCCATCACTAATACTCACTAATACGCAACATTTTACATAGATGCACAGTTTTTCATCTTAACATTAATAAATTCTGTCTGTGGTTTTGATGAACACATGTACTGACTGCAGATGATGATACAGCCATATTCTCTGTGTGTTGTATGTATGCAGGAGCAGTGTGGTTCTCTTTGAGGCAGCATCAGGGTCTACTCAGTTTACCTATGAGAGAGAGGCAACAGGGTCCCTAACATATGTAAGTAAAGTATCATTGCAAACACTATATCCCCTGCTGATGCCCCTTTTGCTGGGGCAGTATTTTGATGTGACAGGCTCAAGAGTTTCTCCAGACAGAGGAGGAGGAGGAGGAGGTCCCAGTAGCAGTGGAGATATATCTGGACCCATCGGCCTTGCCATCATATTCCTGTGAGGGTGGCACAGGAGAATAATTATTATGATGCACCCGCAAACACATGTACAGCACTTGCAGCTATTACTTGCTTTGCCTGTCTGAGATTACACGACTGAACCACAGTCACCTTCTCCGCTCTCTTGTGTATCTGCAGGGCTCTCGGAGGGTTAGTGGCCTACTTTGTGGTGGGAGGGATCTTCATGTACACTCAGAGAGGAGCAAGAGGTGTGGAGGTCATCCCCAACTATACCTTCTGGAAAGACCTTCCCTTCCTTCTGAAGGTATTATAGCTCTCCAACAATCTGCATTATCTACAATTTCTTTAACTTGTTAAACTTCTTCCAGGATGGATTCCTCTTCACCATCAGCCCATGCTACAAGGGCAGAGACGGTTATCATGGACTATAGAACATTGAAGCCATAATAGTTGTGCGCATGCGCTATAATATAGTAAACGTAAGGGTGAACTCTAGTTGCCCCCATATCTTGCTGAGCGCCTGCAGTAGCTCAGTTAGTAGCAGGTTAGCTAGCTGTCGGCTAGGGGGTTATCATGTTTCTGCTGCTGTTGCCACTGGTTGTGGGTATCGCTCACGTGACGTGGAGTGCGGAGATCTGCTCAGTCAGTGGAGACGACTACTGCAGATGTAGCACCTCCAACGGCTTGACGCTGGACCTCCGTCACATTGGTCTCAGCTATCCGTATGTTAGCGTACACATGAGCTTGGTTTTAGCAATGAGCATGGCTTTAGCTATATGGTTAGTACTTCATATTTAGCTAATTGCTTGTCTTGCGTTTGCTATGATATATAGTCAGTAATAGTCTTGGTCTGCAGTGGAATCTTTACTGCTGGTGTTGTGTGTTGTTAACACAGAGAAGCGGTGGAGGCAGGGGACTATGTCTATATCTACACTCCCTGTACCCTCAGTGCCTGTGCAACCTCGACTGGAGCAGTAAGATACCACAATAGAGCAATCACCATCTGAGCATCAAATATGGTCACACTGCATAGCTACACACCTACAACTTTAACACACATGCCATGAATTCATTTATTAAAAACATTCCACCAAAATGTATGCATTTATACATCAACATAGCCTATATAGACCCCATAAAAATTGCCCTTCAGTGTTTTAACCTCTGTTAATTGTTTCTCTATAATTATGGTCAGATGTGTCAGGATGCTCTTGATGATGACTTTGAGTACATAATTGGGAAGTACACGTCGTTCAGTTGGGAGGTCACGAATGATGATCCCGACAATCTCCAGTTTGAACTGCACTATGGCGGAGGAGATGAAGTTAAAGGATCTGCCAGGTAGCTATTAATTTTAGCTATTACCTCTAAACCAGAATGATATCACTAAGCATGCATAAGCCCTAGCACAATTAATTTAGATTTTATACACCTAGCATCATATTGGGCGAGTTTTTTTACATGCATTTATGTCAGTTGAAAGAAACCAGATTTTTACTATGAAATTGCAGGGAAGCAGTGGTGAACTTTGTGAAAGGAGCAGGAGAAACTAAGTTCTCGTACGATCGTCAAGATTCCCTCATTTATGTAGGTCTCGATTTACTGATTAACGATACAAGTCACTGAGGGATCTTTTATTGCAAGTATTTCAGTGTGACTGGCAGCGGTATTACTCCATACAATTCCGGCAGTAGATCAAGTGGTAACAGCAGTGGAGGAGATGTGTCTGGTCCTATTGGTCTCTCTCTCATCTTCCTGTGAGTGAGACCCTTAATTACGAAACCGTTTTGCTGCAGCAGAACTTGATTAAAAGACCACCGTTAATCAAAGTATACGTTGAAGGAAATGTGAGAGTACTTAAGGGATAAATTTAGAAAGATGAAACGAAACAAAAGAGGTCAGAGATAATAACACAGCTCATTCTGCCACATTCCATCTAAACGACAAGGTTCCAATTCACATAGATGGCCTTCCTTCTTGTCAACAACATGCAGGGCTCTTGGAGGGTTGGTGGCCTACTTTGTGGTGGGAGGTATCTTCATGTACACTAAGAGAGGAGCAAGAGGTGTGGAGGTCATCCCCAACTATACCTTCTGGAAAGACCTTCCCTTCCTTTTGAAGGTGAAAACTATGATAATTATTGTTCCTATTTTTTCACAACTTCACCGATCTTTTTTCCAGGATGGATTCTTCTTTACCATCAGTCCCTGCTATAGAAGAAGAGACAGCTATAGTGGTCTATCATGAAATTAATGTGCGCATGCGTATACGCAATCTGCCGCCATACTGCGCACGCGCGATTTTCTGACGCGGAGATTTTCCCGCTCAGTGCGCTCACTCGCTGTTTTTTTTGCGTCCGTGCATGATGGCGTCCAGAACTCTCCTCGCAATCCTGAGTGTGTTATCTGTCCTGATCGTTCAGGGCTCCGCCGTCAACTGTACCATGGACGCGAGCAATCCCTGCAAATGTTCGTTCATTGACGAGTGGGGCGTCATGTGGGGCATCGACATCAGCGACTACTTCTTTTACCCGTGAGTTTAGGGACTTAAAAGTCCCCACTAGAGGCTTGTAGAGGTTGGGCAGATAACTATAGGTGGATGCAGTCTATGGTTGTTAGACAGAGCATTTCTCTACTCCAGCGTCTAGCCCAAGTCAGACGATGCAGATGAATACTCATACTTCTTCACCTGCTATAATTCCCAATGTCCCGAAAACCCATATCCCAGTGCAGTGGTAAGGTTACAGCACATAGAGTACTGCATGTGCTTATTTGTATGCTGCCCTTTGTCTCTGCAGGCCTGCCAAAGTTTGTGGAAAAACAGAGGCGCTATGGGAAGCGCCCCGAGTTGCAGCCTGGAGTTTGCCCAGGAGTTGCAATAGCTTTCGTATTGACACCTGCCTGTTTCCCAACAGGGCGCGTGTCTCGGCTCTGATCTTCTGCAGGCGAACGCTTGGCCACCAGGTCCAGCTTTTGGCATTTGGTCACCTCCAAGTTTGCGAAGGCAAATGGCTTCCTCGCTAGGAGTCATGCCTGGTTGCTAACCGGTTGGCTAAACACCAACTTCAGAGCCTTGGTTATGTTATAAAGCAGAGTGCAGACTATCCACTTGGTAAAGTAGATCAGGATACTACGTGGGAGGTGACTGATACTTCTGATAGTTCGTTGACTTTCATCATCACTTACAAGAATGGGCAGAAGGCGGGAGACAGGGGCAGGTGACCCCAATGCACCCATCCTACTTGTCACACCTGTGGATCATGCATTTCTCCAACTATAGCATGAGTCCAGGAGTGTGGGCAGATTTTGTATTTCCTTTGTTTACAAATTTGGTGCCGATTGCATAGATAGCTAGTTATATAATGATCGTGGTTTACGGTCTAGTCAACCCCTAGTCCTGATATTATATATATACCTTTCACTTTCATTTAGTACTGAAAAGTCACATTTGCCATAGGTTTGCAAAACTTGTAACCGTAACTGAAACCAGTTTATGGAAGAAAATTCAGTATGCTTACTCTAATCTCTTGGTAGAGATACTCCGCCATAAGAATGCCTTGTTTGGATGCGCTTCGTTTTTTTTAGTTGGTGCACAAAAAGATGCTCTTTGTTGCTGTTTTTTTGGTGAAATTTGCAGTTTAATCCTAGAGGAAACCAAAAGTCCATCTTACCTTCCACTATTAAAAGTATATCTGAGAATAATGGATTAGCTACTTACCTTGTTTACCTTGTCGAGGGTTTGAAACGCACAGCTCTTTTGTCAATGCTGCATGTGGCCCAGGTAATGAACCATGCATGGACAGAGGATCACTTGCTCACCATGTGTTTGTCACAGAGAGACTCGGGTGATATTCAAGTACGGAGCTGGAGCCATGAACATGGCTGTCACAGAGGAGGAGCTCACTGATACTGCAATCATATTTGTAAGCAAATGAGTGTTAAGTGGTGGAGATTATGGAAGGCCTAGAGAACCCAGCACTTGTAGAAGTTCATAATCTGCCAGGCCTTTAAGTAATTTTTGGTTACTATATACTCTACTGTGGTTACTACTGCAACAGTAGGATTTCCGCCCTTTTCCTCTCCGATCCACATGTTAGATTATGCAGGCTTCAGGGAACAAGATAAAGAAGACGTTCTACGGTAAAGGAGTAAGAAGTGGCTCGAAGGAAAACATTGCATAACTAAACATTTTTAGTGTGAGTTAGTTGAGTTTGTATGATGAAAATTGTAAAACCATTATATTTTTTCTGCAGCTGGTGTAAACCGAGCCAAGTATACTGAATAACTGAGTAATATAACCTGTAGGAATTTTTTTCGTCAACAGAACCATAGCTGATCACGTGCCTGACTAACCAGAGCATGCAGCATGCATGCATGCTAGCAGGCTCCCCCGCGCGCGCGCGCAGGCGTTAATTACGGATCGCGGCTAGCTCTCGATCTCACGCGTGTTACGAAGCGGACAAAAACGTTAATTTAGATAATTCCGGTATACGTTGCTTAACTCCCACGCAATGAACCGCGCTCCGCTTTGGAAGCGTTCCTCGATCCCCCTGGACGCGACGCTACGCAAGTTTTAAAACCATGAGCTGGGCGCTTATCATCGTCGGTCCATACACAAGATGTTTCTACTAGCCAGTGTCCTCCTCTGCGTGTGTGTCCTGGTGGTCCCTGGGACCAGCGTCACATGTAACATAGACCCCAGCGACTCCTGCAAGTGCTCCTTCGCCGACGGAGGCAAAACCTGGAACATCGACATCAGCAACTACTTCAAGTACCCGTGAGTAGAATCATTGCGTCAGCCGGACAATGATTCTGTCCTTATACGACCGCCGGGCTCAGCTGGAGCTAGCGTGCTAGTGGCGGTCGTTTGTACCGCCTCGTGGTGTGCTTCTAGCTACATAGCCTACAGCCATGCTGAGTATGTACGTCTCATTCAGTAACACAGCGGCCAGAACTTGTATATAGCTGATCTTGTGTTGCACGTGGTTTTGTGTGTTTCAGACGATTATCTGAGTGACTCGCTGACTGACTGACTAGAGGGAAGGCAGTGGGTAGATAAGGTGTATAGCAACACTATTCATGTGCATCATTTGGGAAGTTCAGTTTGGTGAAAGTGATGTGTGTTTTCATGGATTGGAAACCCCCCCTCTAATAACTGCACCTTCATTAGATTAGCGTCAGTGACTACAGGTTTCAGTGGTTAGAAAAATGTACCAGGGAGGGATGGTAATCCTGTGTACCACGTCAACCAACTGCTCACCTACCTCTCTCTCTCTTCTTTCTATCTCTGTCCCTCTGACCAGCGCTCACCCCAAGCCAGTTGAGAGCAAGTACACGTACACCTACACCTGCTATAACGCCAAGTGTCCCAAAAACCCTAATTCCACTGCAGTCGTAAGTCTGTCACACACACACACACACACACACACACACACACTGCAATATACATAGCAGCCTGCATAATAATTATGATACATGTGCCAATCAGTAGACAAGGCTTTCACACTTTCACATGACCTTTACCCTGTCCTTCTCCTCAGGCCTGCCAGTATGTTGAAAAGCAGGGAGACTTTCCACTTGGTAAAGTAGATCAGGATACTACATGGGAGGTGACTGATACTTCTGATAGTTCGTTGACTTTCGTCATCACTTACAAGAACGGACAGAAGTCAGGAGACAAGACTAGGTGAATGCATGCTCCCATCCTACTACACACGATCATTCACATACTCCGTATAGTGTACAGGAAGTTAGATTCATTTCATGTTTTGCAGGCTTATCCGAGGCAGCTCTTTTCTTTGAATAAAGTGTGTTCCTGGGTGTTGTTGAATACACTCATTTCTAGTGCTAACACTCCTATTTTTGTTGTACGAATTGTAGTCCTCTCACTCCACTCTCAGTTTTGTTGTTGTTGTTGTAGTGATGACCAATCATATTATGTCTAATTGTTTACACAGCTGTACATGTTTCCAATTGTGAAATATAGGAGTTGTGTAGTGTGTGTGCTACATAATTATACATAACATGTACCTATACAGAGAGACTACGGTGACGTTCAAGTATGCAACAGGAAGTATGGAGATGAAAGTAACAAAAGAAGACAATACTGACACGAACATTAATTACGTAAGCTAACCTACATAGCAAGTGTTATATTTTTCGACCATTGCCTAACGTACTATGTAAACTGATGGCTGGTAACATAGTTAAGTGCTGATGTGTTGTGCAAATACACACTTTTTGAGCATGCCACATGTGTCGATGGGCGCAATCTGCCTCGAGGTTGTAGCACCTAGTTGTGTGTTTTGTTAACGGCTGTCACAGAGGAGGAGCTCACTGATACTGCAATCATATTTGTAAGCAAATGAGTGTTAAGTGGTGGAGATTATGGAAGGCCTAGAGAACCCAGCACTTGTAGAAGTTCATAATCTGCCAGGCCTTGAAGTACTTTTTGGTTACTATATACTCTACTGTGGTTACTACTGCAACAGTAGGATTTCCGCCCTTTTACTCTCCGATCCACATGTTAGATTATGCAGGCTTCAGGGAACATGATAAAGAAGACGTTCTACGGTAAAGGAGTAAGAAGTGGCTCGAAGGAAAACATTGCATAACTAAACATTTTTAGTGTGAGTTAGTTGAGTTTGTATGATGAAAATTGTAAAACCATTATATTTTTTCTGCAGCTGGTGTAAACCGAGCCAAGTATACTGAATAACTGAGTAGTATAACCTGTAGGAATTTTTTTCGTCAACAGAACCATAGCTGATCACGTGCCTGACTAACCAGAGCATCATGCAGTGCAGCATGCATGCATGCTAGCAGGCTCCCCCGCGCGCGCGCGCAGGCGTTAATTACGGATCGCGGTTTTGCGACCGGCGCGGCGCGGCCTATATAGCTAGCTAGCTAGCTCTCGATCTCACGCGTGTTACGAAGCGGACAAAAACGTTAATTTAGATAATTCCGGTATACGTTGCTTAACTCCCACGCAATGAACCGCGCTCCGCTTTGGAAGCGTTCCTCGATCCCCCTGGACGCGACGCTACGCAAGTTTTAAAACCATGAGCTGGGCGCTTATCATCGTCGGTCCATACACAAGATGTTTCTACTAGCCAGTGTCCTCCTCTGCGTGTGTGTCCTGGTGGTCCCTGGGACCAGCGTCACATGTAACATAGACCCCAGCGACTCCTGCAAGTGCTCCTTCGCCGACGGAGGCAAAACCTGGAACATCGACATCAGCAAGTACTTCGACTACCCGTGAGTAGAATCATTGCGTCAGCCGGGCAATGATTTTGTCCTTATACGACCGCCAGGCTCAGCTGGAGCTAGCGTGCTAGTGGCGGTCGTTTGTACCGCCTCGTGGGTGTGCTTCTAGCTACATAGCCTATATACAGCTATGCCGAGTAATACATCTCATTCAGTAACACACAGCGGCCAGAACGTCCGAACTAGCTGCTGATCTTGTGTTGCACGTGTTTTGTGTGTGTTTTTAAGACGATTATCTGGCTGACTCACCGACCGCTGACTGACTAGAGGGAAGGCAGTGGGTAGATAAGGTGTATACAAACAGTATTCATGTGCATCATTTGGGAAGTTCAGTTTGGTGAAAGTGATGCGTGTTTTGATGGATGGGAAAACCCCCTCCCCCCTCTAATAACTGCACCTTTGATTAGCGTCAGTGACTACAGGTTTCAGTGGTTAGAAAAATGTACCAGGGAGGGATGGTAATCCTGTGTTCCACGTCAACCAACTGCTCACCTACCTCTCTCTCTCTTCTTTCTATCTCTGTCCCTCTGACCAGCGCTCACCCCAAGCCAGTTGAGAGCAAGTACACGTACACCTACACCTGCTATAACGCCAAGTGTCCCAAAAACCCTAATTCCACTGCAGTCGTAAGTCTGTCACACACACACACACACACACACACACACGCACGCACACACACACACAATGCAGCATAATCATGTGCTAATCAGTAGACAAGGCTTTCATACTTCACTCCAATTGCATGACCTTTACCCTGTCCTTCCCCTCAGGCCTGCCAGTATGTTGAAAACCAGGGAGACTATCCACTTGGTAAAGTAGATCAGCATACTACGTGGGAGGTGACTGATACTTCTGATAGTTCGTTGACTTTCGTCATCACTTACAAGAACGGACAGAAGTCAGGAGACAAGACTAGGTGAATGCATGCTCCCATCCTACTACACACGATCATTCACATACTCCATATAGTGTACAGGAAATTAGATTCATTTCATGTTTTGCAGGCTTATCCGAGGCAGCTCTTTTTTTTGAATAAAGTGTGTTCCTGGGTGTTGTTGAATACACTCGTTTCTTGTGCTAACACCTCTTTATGTTGTATGGAATTGTAGTCCTCTCACTCCACTCTCAGTTTTGTTGTTGTTGTTGTAGTGATGACCAATCATATTATGTCTAATTGTTTACACAGCTGTACATGTTTCCAATTGTGAAATATAGGAGTTGTGTAGTGTGTGTGCTACATAATTATACATAACATGTACCTATACAGAGAGACTACGGTGACGTTCAAGTATGCAACAGGAAATATGGAGATGAAAGTAACAAAAGAAGACAATACTGACACGAACATTAATTACGTAAGCTAACCTACATAGCAAGTGTTATATTTTTCGACCATCGCCTAACGTACTATGTAAACTGATGGCTGGTAACATAGTTAAGTGCTGATGTGTTATGCAAATACACACTTTTTGAGCATGCCACATGTGTCGATGCACGCAATCTGCCTCGAGGTTGTAGCACCTAGTTCGTGTGTTTTGTTAACTCAAAAATATTATGAGTCAGTGTTTCTGTGAAGTGGTAAACTTGTCTCTCCCCCCCTCTCTCTCTCTGTCAGGAGATGGAAGCCTCTGGTAAAGAGGTAAAGAAGTTCAGTCCGAGTGGAGGGAAAGGGAAGAGTGGAGGGAAAAAGACATTTCTGGACCAATTGGCATTGTCCTCATCTTACTGTGAGTGACTCCACCCACCCACAGTGGGTGTGGTGACTTACATCTATCTCGTTACAATCTCTTGTTTCCCCCATCTCACTGCCACCTTTTCTTTCCCCCCATCTCACTGCCACCTTTTCTTTCCCCCCATCTCACTGCCACCTTTTCTTTCCCCCCATCTCACTGCCACCTTTTCTTTCCCCCCATCTCACTGCCACCTTTTCTTTCCCCCCATCTCACCGCCACCTTTTCTTTCCCCCCACTCACTCACACGCCACCTTTTCTTTCCCCCCATCTCATCCTCCCCCTGCCTACCTTTTCTTTCCCCCCATCCATCCACCGCCACCGTTTTCTTTCCCCCCATCTCACTGCCCCTTTTCGTTTTCCCCCCATCTCACTGCCACCTTTTCTTTCCCCCCATCTCACTGCCACCTTTTCTTTCCCCCCATCTCACTGCCACCTTTTCTTTCCCCCCATCTCACTGCCACCTTTTCTTTCCCCCCATCTCACTGCCACCTTTTTCTTTCCCCTTATCTTGCTTCAATCTTTTCTCCATATTTGGCCCCAAACATTCCTCTATCTCGCTCCATGCTATTGTATTGTTGGCATAATTCTATCACTCTTTCTTTGAGTAAATTGCGTATCTCTCACTTTTAGCTGATTACTCGGGGCTTTTAGAACATCATTTTGGGAGGACACCCAAAACCTGCAACGTGTATGAAAACAGGTTAAGTGTGTATCTGCCTGCGTTTATTTCACTTTCCTTGTAAGGAAATGTTAGTAAGTTACTTCTGCGTCACGATGTAGTTTACTGAAGTCAGGATAATGTGTAGTTTACTGAAGTCAGGATAATGTTATGAGTATTCCTCACCCATGTTTGACTACAACCCACCCCCTGCAGTGTCTTGTGGTAAAGTGTATGCTTATTTTTGGTGCTCCGTAATATAATATAATAATAGCCAGTAGTAGTCTACTCTAGTTTAGCACCACCTTTGCTGCATGTATCACACATTCATCAACTGAACTAGATGGGGCTGCTGCTGCTGCTTGCACACTCAAGGCACACATACTGAGCATGGATGGGGCTGCTGCTGCTGCTTGCACACTCAAGGCACACATACTCAGCATACTATTGATTTCTTGCATGCCTTTTGTGCCATGAAGTCAGCCCCCTCCTAATGCATGGCTGCTGCATACTGACT